GATAACATAAAATAGATTGCAGGATTTTTCCAACACTCGAGTTTCACTGCCTCATCATGTAATATTAGCCAGTGATGTTAATGATCTGAATATTACGGCCAACTTTATTTAAAAAAGTAAGATATCAATTGGAAGTATGAAACTACAACCACTGAAAGAACTAATGATCTTTCGTTGTGGGGAAATAGTGCAAAATTTCTAGTCATCGTATTTCAAATTGTAAATGCAAAACAATTTCTGATATTTGTGCTTGATAATAATGACACAGAAATATACAGTAGACCGATATGAATGTAATACAATGTATTTGCAAAAGCGTTCTTACAAAGAAGCACAAGGAACTTAATAAAGATCTCCTGAAAGCTGCAACACTAACGATTGAAAAATTTGACAAAGGATCAGGGGTCGTTCTTCTTAATAAGAATGACTGCATTGATAAAGTGAATATCATATTGGATGACAAATTAATGTACAAGTTTATCCAAGTTAATATTACTGTTCAGTCATCTCGACATTAGAAATTATATTTTATTTTACAATTCTAAATACACGTACTTACTTACTTAGGCCTGTTACTCCTAGGGGAGGAGCATAGGCTACTGACCACGATTCTTCAATCTGCTCTGTCATAGGTAGTTCTTTCCACTCGTTCTCAGTTGTTATCCATTCTTTTAATGTCCGTTTCTGATTCTCAGTATATGTTCTTTGGTCTTGCTCTTTTCCTTTCGCCTTCAGGATTCCAAGTTAGCGCTTGCTTATTGGTACAGTTTTATGATTTCATCAATGTGCGTCCTATCCGCCTTCAGTGTCTTTACCTAAACGATGTATTTTGCCCTAAACTTGGCCACTTTCTAGGATTATTAATTTGGATATATAATCGTTAAATCTGAAGTGAATTTATTAAAAGAATATTCTTCGTTCATATATTTGTGTCGTAATATGATGGGGATTTTCAAACAATTAAAAATAAATTCATTTTCATTGTTTTAATGAACTGTTAACTGATTGCGAGCATTATCTAGCTACCGTACACCTTATATCATCTATATAACCATTTAGTTACTTTTTTAATTAATATCAGATTTTGTCTCGTTCTTCCTAGCCAAAATATCAATATCAGCTATATCTTTAATGCACTTCCAAACTCATTCAAATTGTTTCCGATCAAATCAATTTAACTATAAGCTTTTGGACTACTATTTCTATTACTTCTTATACCTTATATTCATGTAAACGATCATGTAGTTGACATTCTGTCAAATCAATTGTTTAATTTAAAAATTGTATATTTTATGATTTAAGCATAACATGGATAACTTCATAATCTAAATGTCAGTTAATTTTACAAATTATTTTTGAATCGCAACAGTGTACTTCTTTTTTATGTATTTATTCATAATTGATAACAGGTCACAAAATGTGCTCTATTCATTTCTTCTTGACATATATTTCAAAATAATAAAAAGACATTGTGTTTAAATCATTTCCAGCTGAAAAAAATATCTTTATTGAAATGGAGTTTTTTAAAAATATTCAGAAGATAGATAGTGGCTAACAATGAAATCCAGGACGAACGTTTCGTTCTCTTTGGAACTCGTCAGCTGGATGTACCTGCATCTAGGAGTTATTGTTCACTCTGCGATGAAGCGCGTGTCCTAGATTTCACTGCTAGCCACTATTTATCTTTGATTATAATGTTTGTGAATTAAGACAATATCGAGGCAATATGCACAGTATGCACATATGCCAATAAGAGACTGATCGATTACTGTTCTAAACATCAATAGGAAGATTCAAGTAAACAATTCCAAGTGAATTTGTATAAAAATGTTTTGAAAATGAGAAAACCTGTAGGTTATGTTTAAATGATATGATCGGCGGAGTTTGATCATATTTATGGTGACAATTAAACCAATGGTGACATTGATTGATGGTTAAAGTGTTAAATACTGATCGTTGGGTCCTTAATCAATTTCTTTTAAGTACTACACAATGTGAGAGATCTAAAGGTCCACTGTTAGATTTTTTGACGAGTCCTAGATTAGGTTGAAAATTTTCTGTAGGATTTAATGGTTTTCAGCAGTTTTCTAGATAATATTCTTATGAATATAAATTTAAAGTTAAATAGCCATCAAACAACCTTTTAGCTTAGTAAAAATCCTTAATATAGTACGTTAGAAGTAGTATTCACTATGACGCTAGCTGGTGACACAGGGATGTTAAAACTCGTTTTTATGGAAAATCATTTCAGTGCACAACTTAGTTGATGAATGAACTGAGAGAATTTCGCGTATGATTAATATATATATATATATATATATATATATATATATATATATATATATATATATATATATATATATATATATATATTTAAGGTATAACAGAACTAATTGAACATTCAATATTTATTAGCGACTCAATTCATCGAGGTCTGGGCCAGTAAGTGACGCTGTAATTCGTGTCGTGTATAAGAATTTACTCTTAATGGTGACATTAATTTTAAATTATCTGACTCCACTTGCTGAAAGTTAGCTCGGTGATATAAACATCAAAGAACTTGATGATTTTAATTTAAAACTTGAAATGCATTGTAGATTTGTAATGTCGACAACCATATATCATGCATATGGTAAACTAAGAGCTCAATATAAATGAATGATCCCTTCATTCAAGAATTTATTTTTCAATAATTTAATGAATACAGTGTGAACTAACTCGAATCTGGCTACGTAGATCACTCTAATAATTAACTAAAATGAAAACCTAAATAGTAATTAAGGTATTTATACAATTGTTTTCTGCCTAATGTTTGTTATAGTATGGTGCATTCTACTTATGTCTGTCGACATAAGTAGTATGTAACACCAGTGGGAAGTGGAAAACCTGGCAAGAGAAGGCTAGGAAGATCGATTTGAAGAAGACAGAAAGAAAAATAAAAAGGAATTGTGAATTGTAAAAATAATACAGAATGTGAAAGACAGTTGATGAAAGACTCGTAAATGAAGTATTTAATGTATGGTTCTTATAATTTAAGATATTCTGTAATTTTGTATTAAAAAGTAAACTGGTTGTCATTCCACTGAGTTTTAGTTCACAACAATTGTAAGGGAGTTACTTTAACTACCTACCAAAGATCTTGCTGGTAATGATTAGCTCTTTATTTGAAAACTTGATTAAACAAATAATTACTGAATAGTGTTTGTCTCAAACATTAGTCATCAATCTGATCTGTGATTTATAGAATTCTTATTTTCCCTTCTATAATTCGCGTTAGTAAGCTATTTCGACACATTAACATCTGTTAAAGAAAGCAGTTTGGCTTAATAATGCTAATGTCTATTAAAAAGGTGAATGCAGTGTAATTCATTCTTTCAAGCTAGCTCAATATTTATTCTGTGTCAATTTAGTCAAACAATAAGGTTAATCTACAATTAAATCTATAGGAAATTATAACAAATGTGACAGTTTGATTGAATGCATGTCTTCATCCTATTCTTCATCTGTTCTATCATTGGTTGTAAATACAAACCACACAACAACTTGCGTATTGATTTGCACTCATTAAAAAACACACGGAATTATACACATACATTCTTCCTAAGTCTACTCGCTTATCGCGTACTTGTCAATCAATAACAATAAACGCTTTTCCAATGCAGCTAATATTCTGGCTTCTGAACATTTTTAAGTGACTTCATAATGATTCATCGATAATAAGCCTACTAAAAAAGTACAGTTAACGGGTCATCACGTTTTAACGTTGGAGTGGAGGAAGTAACTCCTACAAACACAGTGGTTTATAGCTCAGTAAATCACTTTCAACTTCATATTACGATGGCTAAGATTGTAGATTTTGAACTATCAGAGTTTATAACATAAAATAAGCTAAAGTAATGATTTCATTTTTCTGAAAAAAATCGCATTGACGAATTTGTTTGCAATACATTTAAGTGAAATACATGAAAACAGTATTCAATAAATTCAGAGTGTGATTTTTTTAAAATTTGCCACAAGATTACTTGTTTGTTTCTTATTTTATTACTCCGCCTTCTTTAGGTAATTTAGTAGTGATAGTGAGCTTGCTACCAGTATTAGGATTTAAAAGGCACCTAACTGAAAGTTTTAAATTTCATTCATGCATATTTTTGGGTTTACCAATATGTTCTGCTTAAAACTTCAACGAAAACAATGATATTTCAAATATTTAAATTTCCTTCCAAAGATGTAACATTCAGAGATATTATTGTACAGACATTCTGGTAACACATTGTGCAAACACTGTGAAGGCGCTCAAATATATATATATATATATATATATATATATATATATATAACTGTAAAACCTTTTCTATGATGTCGGGAAACATTAAAGGTTTCTTTTTTACATGCCTTTTACTTCTATAACTGTATTATTTCCAGTATATACAAACTATTCAGTATTCAATAAATCTTAAATTATCAAGTCAAATACTAGCAGTAATATTTAGAAAGGTAGTTGTTTTCCTTACAGCCTGTCTTATAAAACGCGTTTAAACTTTTGAGAGGACACCATGTACCCTTTGACGTTATCACAGTGTTTCACATTAGTTTTGCCAATGTAACAAGTAAAACAAGTAGTCACAAAATTTTCCTGTTTAAACATGAAATGTCATTGGTCAATTTCAAAATAACCAATAATCCATCTAATATTTTTGATTTGATATGTAAATTTTATTTACCCATTTTACAACGCATTTTCAAGAACATTACTGAGTGGTGAACTATAACTGGGTGGGAAATAATCAAAAATCATTCTTGACGACATTAGTCTAAGGAAAAGTGAACTTTGTGCATACGGTTATTTCTGTAGAAAGTATTTTATTAACATTAATTTCTGTACTTCTATAAAAGATCCTGATCATCTTTAGGTGCATGACATATTATTATTCAGGAAATTATACTTTAATTTACAATCGTTAGTTTAGGCGAAAATAAAGTAGACAGATTAAGAATATTCAATGCTTGAATCTCCATACCGTTCAACTCAAGGTCGTAAAGCTGTTCGTACGTTAACTACCCCACTATGTTTTAATAATTCTGAAAATATATGTGCCACAAATAAAAATCTATTGCGATACTGTTTGGATTCACCAACTACAACATCTCAACCAAATCTAAATGGTCGAGTATCGAGGTCAGATACAAGCTCTAGTAATGATCATATTGGTCGTAAATTATCTGTAAATGGAGTACATGAACTTAGAGACCGATCCCTTCCTGGTACAATTTCAAAACAAGAAGTTCATTCGGTATATAGTTTACATCAACATCGTAAAAACACATATATTCGAATTCAAGATCCTATAAATAGTGAAAATCGATCACCATCAAGGCAAACACGAAGAAAAGAAGTTATACGTTGTTGGAGTCGAGAAAGAGTTACAAGAAGTGAAACTATTTTAAGTATACGTCGACCTTCATCAAAACAAACTGAACAAAATATAGAAAGTAATAATTTATGCAAATCTCGACTTACTGCTTCAACATCGACCTTTAATACTTCTCTTTTCTTACCGATTATAAATAAAAGTGAAAGTTTTTCATCACTACCAACTACAATACGTCATATTCCAATTCAATTAGCTGATTATCATCTAACTGATATACAACCAATAATTAATGATACATTAAAATCAATTCCAATTTCTAATCAATTTTCTAAAATTGAAAAACAAATTTCAAATAAATTACAAAATCTTACTTTCTCTCCTATTGAATATTCAGAGTATGTAGACAAGTAAGTTTTACAATGATAATTGTTTCAACTATACAATACTGATTTTTTTATTTTATCTTTAAGTGTGTGTTAGTTGTTGCCATGGTTTATTATTGTTAACTAATTACATGAAGTAATCTAATTAGAAAATAATTTCTTAAAACAAATTCCCATACTGGTTTTGATAAAACTGTAATTCATCAAATGATGATATTAAGTCTAATTATTATTGAACATCTATCTAATTTTGTATAAGTTTGTAGCAGCCTACCCATACATACAGTTTGAATGAATGATTTTCAATTCTTTTTAGTTGATCTATTTAATTTATATTTTTATGTGACATTAGATGATATCTCTTGCTTGAAAATGATCTACATTGAATGAAAATCATACCAGATGGTCTACAGCATTTGTTTTTCGTAGAATTTTTAGGCCTACAATACATATTCAATAATATCTCTTTTTAAGACACATATGTAAACTAAAGGAAAATGATATTCAAACATAGTCATTGTCATCAGGGGCTTTTCTAAACATGCGTCATCATAGCCTTTTTGATTAAAAACTAACCTTTATTATTAATTGTATTATGAACACTAAATACTTCAGTGTCAGATTACAAAATTCATGATGGTCAACAATTTTATTTAGATGAAATTCATTACTTAAATTAATAATCATATTAAAAACTTGGTTGGTAGGACTACAACAACAGTCGAGCTTAATTCATAATACTCATTACTATTTTGTAATTATTTATCACAACTTTTTCATATAGAAACGAAAATACCTCAATTTCTTAAAGCGAAATTTACGTGTTGATGCTGACTATTTGTTAATTTAAAGAAAACATTTTGCTCGTGACTTTGTGTAACATTGTAAGTATCAATTATTATTCAGAAGCTCAATAGAGTTAACAATTGATTAAAGTCAACAAATTGAAAGCTGACCTTTTGTTTTTAATAACAAGCACATATAAACTTAATTTTGAAATATTTTCTCAGGGTAAAGGACAGGACATATCCATCAGCTAATATCAGAAGGGGTGTTTTTGTTAATATTATAGTAATTTTAATAGTTGAGATCATCAGTCAATGAATAGGTTTTAAGTTCGAATCTCACAAGGTGGGATTATGGATGTGCACCGCTGAGGAGTCCCATAGTAAGACAAAACGGCCGTCTAATGCTTCTGGGTTTTCCATGGTGGTCTAGCTTTAATTGACTCATGATTTCAACTATTTAAAATATCCATCAATTCTTGGCATGATTGTACTAACTATCGGATAAAAATTAACATTTCAATGCATATTGTTAATGAATCCTATATGTAAAGTGGATTGATTTTGCAAAGTAAAATATTTAAGTTTGAACATTATAATGATAATCCAGAATTTGTCTTTTTCAGTTTGACGTATATTACGTATTCAGAATATTTCATGTAACATGAATATAAATATGTTCATGATTTAAAGTTCAATGAATATGTTCGTTTACAGTAATAATAAATCATTCTCATCATTACAAGTATCGTCATTATCTTGGTATTTTTTAATCTCTGTTTCTTTGTTTGCCTTTTTTCTTTAAAAAAACAACATAGAAATTATAACCAGTCGTACAAACAAGACAAAATGTTATTTTAAAAAAACTAGCTGATGGATAATGTAAATTCTTCTATTTTATTCTACAGTCTGAAATACTTGCTTCCAATTTTTCTCTTGTATTATCTTTTATTTCATATTATTGTATAGGAAAAGATAGAACAAACAATCAACGAGTTATTTAGTAAAATAGAAAAACAATACTATAATACTTGATTTGCAAAATGTTCAATAATTGTCTCGAACTTTGTTATTTTTGCATTTCCATACTAATTACTTTCTATTCCCGCTCTTCCCTTCTTGATCTTCCCCATCTTCTGCTGCCAGATATAACATTCCTGACTCGCGTCATATACTACTTATATCAATATAAATAGCACGCATCACATTAGGACTGTCTGAATAGTAATCATTATTATTACTATACTAAACTTGGTTAACTAGGCTGAAAAATAGTAGTTTCCCTATTACCTCCAATCTTGAAATAGTAATCATAAATGAATCATTAAAAGCATCATTTGAAATGTGTAATATATATATATATATATATATATATATATATATATATATATATATATATTTGGTTAATAAAGTCAAGTTTAATAAAAGGATTAAAATTATCGGTCAACTTTCGGTATTTGAATCCGGACTGATTTTTGTTACTCATTAAAATAGATTACAAATTCTAACTTGAAGTAATTGAAGTAAACAAAATATCAGTGAAATAAACTGCTCAATCTCTATTTTACTACAGAAGCTTTTTAGTCATCTTGTTAGTCACTTACTATCTAATAAATTAAACATAAAGGCATGATTAAACACTAGCAATTGTTTGTCAATTGATAGAACAAAATTATCTAGTAGATTTCCACTACTTACATTTTGAGCTAGTATATACTCTAGAAATTACTAAATTTGAAGGTGTAAAGAAATGGATTATTCAAAATATGCCATACTCTGTACTTGAAGCCTTTTGGTTAATTATTTCTGTCTACTTTTAGAATATAAACATTGTAAGTATAAAGTTTCATTCTATACATAACAAATTATTTAAATTAGCTAATTATTTAGTGAATTAATTTATTTTCAAAACAGCTTCGATAATTGAAGTTCCTTATTGAAGTTCATTTTATTAATAAGAATTATGGTATGAATCAGTGAGATATTTCTAAACAAAATTGATTTTCTGAACCGAGTAATTAGAATGTATCAGAAGGGGTTTTGTGAAGATTGTAGTAATTCAAATAGTTGAGATCATGAGTGAATTGAAGCTAGACCATCATGGAAAACTTGGAAGCACTAGACGGCCGTTTCGTCGTATTGTGGGACTCCTCAGCAGTGCTCACTAGTGACTGGCTTTAAGATGTATATCCTGGAGTTCTAGTGAGAAGCAGTGACCAGTGGAGTTCAACCGGGTCTATTGTGAGATAGTAACTCACTGATAACAATGGTGGATGTGTCACTTAATTTCGTGAATTATTTGAAGTTAGACATTAACACCGTCGGATGCCGGCCAGCTCAGTGGCCTAGTGGTTAAGCGCTCCTGGGTTCCTGGGTTCGAATCTCGCAAGGTGGGGTCGTGGATGAGTACTGCTGAGTAGCTCCACAATAGGACTGAACGACAGTTCAGTGATTCCATGTTTGTGATGGTGGTCTAACTTTAATTGACTCATGATCTCAACTATTGAAATTATAATGTACTTAACCACCAAATAGTAAAGTTAGCATCAAATATTACTATTACTATCAGGAAGAAATTATATGCTTTACAAAAGGAAAAATCAATTTTCCAATGAAGGTAATTATATATTTAGATGTAACAAAGATATGAACATCATTAAGTTCTAACACTGAATGACAAGGCAAAATTTAACACCCACTAATATACTATTAAATCTGTAATGTTTCATCACACTATAAAAGTTTACCATCTGTTGTGAATATTCACACCTTTCACAAATGTTTTATTTATTTTAACAAATAATTAATTCCATTTGTAAATATGATCATGTAATATCAAAAACCTTAGTCATTTGATCTATGATACAAAACTAACATTTGGATAGCTGTAATAAAGTTAGTTTTAACCTCATCAAAACTTGTCCATTCTAGTAACATTTATAAAAATAAAGTCATGTCAATGAATCTATTTCATGTGTATGGAAATTAAATAGTAGTCATTCATTATTATAATAAAATAATAATTGAACAAATAATTTCAAACAATATAGATTAATTTTGTTGTTGTTGATGATTTATACATTTAGATTTTCTAATTATTTGATCCTAAAAATTATATATATGTTGATCGGAATCATAAAATAACAACTATCAAACAAGTCATCACATTTACTCTGTGTATTTCTATACAAATCAAATGAAATTGATATCTGGTTATTAGTATTTGTTACTTTTCATCGATTCTATACTTATCGGCACGGATACGAAAAGCTCGTTTGGCTTTTGCCAACTTACGTCACCTATGGCGAAGGCGAGATATCCGTCTATCAATAAAAGGACGAGTATACTGCAAGGCAGTCCGTTCTGTTTTAATTTATGGCAGCGAAACATGGCCATTAAGAGTAGGAGATACTCGTAAGCTACTAATATCTGACCACAGATGCCTTAGAAGTATTGTTGGCATCTTCTGGGAGCACCGGCTAAGTAATAGCGAGGTTAGACAAGGGGTATTAGAGAAGGATAGTAAATCAGTTAATAGGTTTGTGAATCGTTATCGACTGAAATGGTTGGGCCACGTGTTACGTATGCCTGAACACTTATTACCACAACGTGCAATGTTGACTAGTGTTGAGGATGGTTGGAAGAAAGTTAGGGGTGGCCAAATCAAAACGTGACACCAGTGCTTGAAGTCACTAACCTCTGATCTGAGCCATAATGATAGATGCAGAGTTCTTGTTTGAAGACTATGGGTAATGTGGCTTAGAATCTTTCAACATGGCGTTCTGACTGACTGACTGACTGACTTTATACTCATTTTTAGCAAAAACTAAAAAATATTTAACTATTGAATAGCAAAAGAGCTCAGCAAACTTATGCGCTCATATAAGTTGTTTGTAATTCTCTCTTTAAAAAAATGAATTCTTTTCTCTGTTTTTACTAAATAACAAGGGATTGAAAATGAGAAAAAAGTATAGAAACTAACTAATTAATAAGAAATATAAATGATTACTAGTATATTGTATACCATATTTAGTGAAAGTTACTATTATGTAAAAGCTAACATTACAATAAGTGGAAAAGACTAAAACCAATGTCATATTTCTATGTATAATTAAGTGCATAAATAATATTTATGTTTTTCGATAGAAGAAGACGTTTTTTCGTATTGTATTTTGTTAATTAACGTTGCATGCGTAAAAAAATTACAGTGTATCTACTCAGCTTCAAATTATATAACTCAAAATAAAATCGTATTCAGTTATGTCTAGAAGAAAGTGAATACAATGATGAACTAGCACAATTATTTTTCTGATAAAAGTATGTAAAAAAGTTCCTATTTTAGAGCTTCTATGATCTACAGATAGGTTCTATAGGATTTCTAGTAATTGAGGATACGTTTTATCAGTTGAAGATTTGTATTGAATCATTGGATAGATGTTTTTCTTTCTTCCTTTGGAACTTCATAAGACGATATAACCTCAAATTCATCAGACTAGAGTTCTATAATCTTCCGATTTTAAGAGTAACACGATTTCTTTCATTATCATTATGAGTTTCATAATTGTTTACGAAACAGATACTCAACTTATTCTTTACAAACATTCTCACTACTTGTACAAATCATGAGTAGCAAAATACATGAATAAAATTTACTCCAGGAGTATTATTCCAACTAATTCAAGATCTAATAAACATATGATAATTAGTCAACTTATGAAAAAATTAAAATAGTGGAAAAAAATATTTTGCTGCTGTACTCCCAAATCAGTCAAATGAAGTGGTTTTCCTACTTCACTCCCGTTTTCAAGATAGAACTCATAGTTTTACAGTTTCAAAATGATTGATTATCATCTGAAGCACCAGTTTTGGCAGACTTCTCACATCAATACATATATACATTTATATAATGAATTAAGAAAATAGAAACAGCTTTTCTGAACTGTTTTATTCATTGTTTGTCTCTCATAATCTTATTTATTGTACATCACAGAAATATATTTTGTTTAGTAGACCATTTATAGGCAATGAATGATGAACAAACGGAGACTAAATTGTTTATATACTTTAAAATTAAATCCCACTACAGAAGATACTGGACTCATCCAGAAAAATGAGATATTATCAGAGTTTTTCTCAAATTTTAGCTAAATGATTACGGTGAATGAAATTGTAACAATACTAAACGACTAAATCCACTTTGTATTGTTTCTTTTTTATCTTCCCATTCATATTTACGACTGTAATTGATCAGTCTCTTATTGGCATATGTGCATCCTGTGTAGATTGCCTTGATATTGCTTTTAGTCACAAAGATTATAAGCAAAGGTCGATGTAAGTACATCCAGCTGATGAATCCCAAATAGGATTCCACTGTTAGTCACCATGTACATTTGTTTATAATACTAAATGATTGTTTATACATGAGATTATTTTATAGTGATTGATGCAGGAATTACAAAATATGAAGTTAAATATTTGACTTTTAAAAGAGTACCTACGACTGTTTGCTATGACTCGATACAATTTCGTATTTTATGTGTTGTACTGGTGATTGTTAATTCGGTCATTTCTATTCATATTTTATGAAGAAAATTATTAAGCATGAAAAACAATTAAAACAACAATTTCGTCTTTTCAAATGAGACTAATAAACTTACATTTTTTCGTT